CATTTTGTCTTTTCAGTTTCAGCATTTTTTTTAGTTTCAAATCTCTTCTTTTTTGTTTCAAAAACATTTTATTTTAAACAAAACTTATGACCTCAGTTTAGCTCCATAGAAATGAATGATTTTATTTCTGGAAGCGGTTCAAAGTTTCTTCAGGCTAAACTAATTCAGGTCTGACTAAACGGTTTTACACAGAAGTTAACTGTTTTACTGCAGGAACACTAAAACACTTTTATTACGTCTCTGTGTAAATAGATCCAAATAAAAAATAGAATCCAGTGTCAGGAAGAGAGAAACTCACACCAGAGCTGTGAAAATGTTTGGATCTGCAGCTCAGACTGAGTCTCTGGATATGAGACGACAAGCGGTGACTCAGCAGATTTTCATCGTAGATCTGTTTTGATCTGATCAGAACTGAATAAAAGTCTAAACGTGACCTGGATTTCAAAATAAAGCATGGAGATACTCTTCAAAACAAGACTCTGGTTTGATCAGGACCAGAACACAGGACCAGAACTCAGAACTAGAACCCAGGACCAGTTTTTCTGTCCTCAATTGGAAAAGTCCTCTCAGGTCTTCCAGGACCTGTAGGCCTTGCAGGACTTGGAGCACAAACGGGGTCAGAACCCAGACCTGATGTAAAATGTTGACTGAACTGATTACAAAGTAAAACTCGGGTCATAAAGAAACAGACCCTGAGGTTCTGAGGAAATCCTGCAGCAGGTCCACACAGATTAAATATCCTGCAGAACCGGTTCTGGTCCTGTGAGACGGTTCCTGTCCAAACAGAACCAGGTGGTTGTTGCAGGTCTGAGAAACCAGAGTCAAAGATTTGTTTCAGTCCAACACAAGAAGTTTCTGAATCAAAGAAAATCTGAATAAAAACTTCAGTTTTTCATCCGTTTGATTCAGATTCAAAATATTTTGTTGTTTCTGCAACAAAAACAAAAGTCTGAGAAGAAATCAGAGAAAACTGAACTTGTTCTTTTCTTTCACTTTTTAACAATCAGTTGTTGTGTCCTTGAGCAAGGCACTTCACCTGCCTTAACTGCTGATGGTGGTCAGAGGGGTCGGTGCATGGCACCCCCCCCCACCCCCCCAGTGTGTCCCAAGGCAGCTGTGGCTACAATGTAGCTTAGCATCATCAGTGTGTGAGTGTGTGTGTGTG